TTTGCAAAGATGAAGAGATTGTAAGACATTTTAGTGTCCGGGGAACTCCACAACAAAATGGAGTTGCAGAAAGATTGAATCAAACCTTGCTTGACAAGGTTAGATGTATGTTGTCTCAGTCGGGTTTGAGCAAGTCATTTTGGGCAGACGCAGTTACTTATGCATGTCAGATCATCAACCGATTACCCTCAGCTGTTGTTTAGGGCAAGACACCAATGGAGGTATGGACTAGAAAACCTTCTTCTCATTATGACTATATCCATATTTTTGGTTCACCTGCTGATTTTCATGTAACTAAAAATAAACTTGATCCTAGAGCCAAAAATGCTATTTTTCTTGGTTTTAGTAGTGGTGTCAAAAGTTACAGGTTGTGGTGCCCAGAGATGAAGAAACTTGTAATTAGTAGAGATGTGACATTTGATAAAGAAAGTATGTTCAAAGACTCTGAGAAGAAAGTGAAAGATGTCCAATAGGTGGAGCTTGAGAAAATTACCTCTAGTACTTCAAATCCTATTTCCACTGATGTCGAAGCCACTACGAGTGAAGAAGTGGGAGACCAAGAAGATGTTGAAGAAGTTAACCTTGAAGATTCTATTTTAGATGAAGAGCAAGCTTCACCTCAAGAGTCTATTGCCAAGAACAGAGGAAAGAGAAATATTACCAAGCCAGCTCGGTATAGTGATTATGTTTCTTTTGCTCTTCCTATTATCACTAATGAGATTCCATCCAATGTTGAGGAAGTTCTTGAGAGTGAAGAAAAGGAGAAATGGTGCAATGCCATGGGTGATGAGATGAATTCTCTCTTGAAAAACAAGACTTGGGAGTTAGCTAAATTGCCTAAGGGTAAGAAAGTTATCGGTTGCAAATGGGTGTATGCCAAGAAAGAAGGTGTTGATGAGAAAAGCAATGTGAGATTTAAAGCAAGATTAGTTGGTAAAAGGTATGCACAAAAGGAGGGCATTGACTACAATGAAATCTTTTCTCCAGTTGTGAAGCACTCCTAAATTTGCATTATGTTAGCTCTTATTGCACAATATGATCTTGAGCTTGTGCAACTCGATGTGAAGACGGCTTTCCTACATGGTGATTTGAATGAAGAGATCTATATGTGTCAACTGGATGGGTATAAAGTAAAAGGGAAAGAGAATTTGTTTTGCAAGTTGAAGAAATCACTTTATGGCTTGAAGCAATCTCCAAGAGAAAGGTATTTGAGGTTTGATAAATTTATGAGAGGTCAAAATTATTCTAGAAGTCAATATGATCATTGTGTGTACTTCAAGAAATTGCAAGATGGGTCTTTCGTTTATTTGTTGATATATGTTGATGATATGTTGATTGCCTCAAAGAATGTCGAAGAGATTGAGAAATTGAAGAAGCAAATGAAGAACGAGTTTGAGATGAAAGATCTTGGTGAAGCGAAGAAGATCATTGGCATGGAGATCATTAGAGATAGAGAGAAGGGTTTGGTATGCTTGAATCAAAGACAATACCTTGAGAAGTTGATTCAGAAGTTTGGAGTTCATGATTCAACCAAACCGGTTAGTACCCCTTTGGCTCCTCATTTTAAATTGAGTTCTCTACAATGTCCTAAAACTGATAAAGATAAGCTGCAAATGAAAAATATACCATATGCAAATTTGGTTGGCAGTTTGATGTATGCAATGGTATGCTCTAGACCGGATATTGCTCATGCAGCTGGTATGGTGAGTCGATATATGCATAATCCTGGTAAAGAGCATTAGCATGCAGCTAAGTGAATATTGAGGTATCTCTATAGTACTCGAGATGTAGGTTTATGCTTTGAGATGGATGGCTCTAGTATTGGTCACTTTGCAGTTTGTTATGTTGATTCAGATTATGCAGGTGATTTGGATAAAATGAAGTCTACGACAGGCTATGTGTTTACTATGGCTAAAGGGCCAGTTTGTTGGAGGTCCATTTTGCAGTCATCTGTTGCCTTGTCCACTACAGAGGCTGAATATATGGCTGTTGCTAAAGCTATAAAGGAGGCCATTTGGTTACATGGACTGATTAGAGATTAGGGGGTTGATCAGAAACAGGTGGAGTTGCATTATGATAGTCAGAGTGCCATTTATTTGACTAAGTATCAGGTTCATCATGCAAGGACCAAGCACATAGATGTGCATTATCACTTTGTTCGTGAAGTTGTTTGTGAAAGGGATATCATTCTCCAGAAGATTCCAACTAAAGACAACCCCGCTGATATGTTGACTAAGGTTGTTGGTGTAGCCAAGTTTGTTCATTGCTTGAACTTGGCTCACATTTTGCCTATATGAAACAGGTGTTGAGCAATAGGAGCTTTGGAGCATTTTGGCTAGGCTTGAGTTATTCTCTTGCTACTTTCGGGAGTGATCTTGTGTTGATTGTTGATTATGTTGGTTTGGCTCGACATGGCGTTTTTGGAATTTGGCCAAGGTGGAGATTGTTGAATTTATGGTCAAATTACATTGGGCCTTAAGTTAATCTCACTAGCCCATTAAGTGGGCCTTTTATTTAGCCCATTTGAAAAGCCACGGGTGTGGCTAGGGTTTTAATTGGCAGCAGCAGCTGCCTTTGTTTTGGAGCAGCAAAGAAGAAAAAGAAAAAGGTGGTGCCGCAACCCCTTTGAAGAGAAGAAGAAGGTGCTCTTCTCTTTGGTTAGTTCTCACTCCATCAAAGTTGTATTTGTTGTATTAGCTTTGAGCTTTGTATAGAGAGGAAATTATTCATTATATTTCCTTCTCTATTTGTTTCTTTGGTGAGTGAGAGCTTTTGGGTGTATTGGGGTTTTGGGTTGTGAGATTGTCAACACTTTGTAAACTCCCATTTGGTTGATAGTGGATTATTAGGCGAGCTCCGAGGACGTACTCTAATTACATTGACTGTTGAAGAACCTCATTAAAATCTTTGTGGTTTTTATATTTTGTTCTTGCATTTCATTTGATATATTTCCTGTGGGTTAGCTTGAGTTGGTTCCAATTGGTTTGGTGCTATCCTAGCACAACATTTAGTACCTTCTCCTTTTCTCTTTCTAACCCTATATAAATCTATACCTTCACCCATCATTCTCTTAGAAGGTCCTTAAATAAGATCCGTAAATGAGATCATATTTCCTGCTATTAGAATTAGATAAGACGATTCCACCTTTTAGTCAAGAACGCCGAGAACGCCATTGTGTAAGAGTAAACATAACCAAGTATAAACTGTGTATGGGTGCCGATTAAGTACATAACAGTTCATAACTACCGAAAGGAAGTTCAATCCAAAACCAATTGGCAATGGGTAGGCTCAAGATTTTTTATCATTACTATAATGCTCTCATTCTTCAGTGTGGGATACTACTCTTAATACTTCTCAAAAGAGAAAAGCAGTGATTCCGTAGAGCCCAAACATGGCAGTGTGCATATGTGTGTTTGTGTTCTTGTCACTGATGCTCGAAGCCTTTCAACGTGCAGGATGACATGTTGAACCAAAATTCTTCCGCATACTTTATCTACTGTATTATGAGGAACCAATGAGGGATAGTATTGTTGTGATATACGTCTCAAAATTAGGATGATGCAGAGATTAGGTTTGTGTTATCTATTTCGTTTTGGTGTTCTATTTGAGTTTGGGTTGGATTCTTTGCTTGGTGGAGAGATTTTGTTAATCACCAGATTTATGGCTCATTTGTTTGGCAATTTGGTGAGTTAGAGAATTTGACTTTTTGGTTGGATTCTTTGCTAGGTGGAGAGATTTTGTTAATTACCTATTTTGTTAGGATTTGGATTTACTTCCAATTAGGATTAGGATTCTCATTGTAACCTAAGTCCTATGCACTCTCACCATGGTGTAGAGAGTTCTCTCTCTCTCTCTCTCTCTTTTGGTTTTGGATGGAGGTCACCGTTTGAATGTGTGGTAGATTCATGGCTCATTATTTGGCAATCTTGTGAGAATCAATTTGTGAGTTAGAGAACAATTTGGGGAATCGTCTCCGTTTGTTTCTAGTTCTCTACTCGTTTGGTTTATGGTTTGTAATTTGTGGGATCTGGGTTGTGAGAGTTTAAACACTCTTTTGTAATTTCCATTTGTTTAGTGAAATTCCTTGCTGTGTGTCGCCTATGAACGTAGACTTTACACCGAACCACGTAATCTCTTGTGTTCTTTTGAGATTGTTTGTTTCTTCATTCTCGCCTATAGCATTGATATTTGGTACTTTGTTAGAATTCGTTTCCGCTTGCGCATAGAAGTACAACAAGGATTCCAGATGACCTAAGAGAAGGTTATAATATTACTTATTGGAGATAAAATGAGAGAGAAATAATCAACCCTGTGTTTCAATCTCATTTTTAATCAATAAAAATGTTTGGTTGTTATTGAAAATGAAAAAGAAGTCAAGATGAGTAGAATAGTTAGGGTGATTAATAATCATAGCGGGTAGAGCTTGAGGAAGAAGGAAAAAAAACATGGATAGAGTTCATTAGGAAAAACTTGCATGTAAGTTAAATGTGTATATTTCTAAGGAATAGGCGGGTGGGACAAGGCTATTCTGTTATTGCTGTTGTATACTATGTTCTGATGCTGGTAAAATGTTATTTCATGACTCTCTGTCCTCTGTGCTAATGAAGAGTAAAGGGAGTCAACACATGCAACATTCTAAACTTTAGTATAAGATTCTGAAGTATTTTTTACGGCCACATGATGGCTAAATTGAATTTACAATACATGAGGTTACATTTGCTTGTACATAGTTCCTAGTTTTTTAGTTTCTTAGAGGATCTTGGATAAATAATTAAATACTTGTCTGGTATTACCCCACACAAAATATGATTGCAAGAATCGGTAGTTGTTTCATGTCTGAAGTTCACAATTCAGGCTTCTTCTGTGGTTTGTTCTATGTATGCTGCAGGTGCAATTTCTGATTTTTCTATTTGATATAAGAAAACTCTTGTACAAGGGTTTTTTCCCGTCCTTTTTATTTGCTTTTCATTATGTTGTCTTTTCAGACAGCAAGGAGATTCAAGTGAAAACTGGGCAACTACTTCAAGGCGTTGTTAAAGGTGTTGATAAAATCTGCAAGGTTGTGTATTTGAGTTCTGACCAAGAAACCGTATCAAAATCTGTGGTATGCCCCCTGTGCTCTTATATGCTTTTTGTTTCATCTTCACATTCTCCCTTCTTATTTAAGCATTGCTTTTTTTTCTTTTCTGAAATCATATACAGACCAAGGATAACAAGGGAATTTCAATTGATCTACTCGTTCCAGGCATGATTGTTAATGCTCGTGTGCTATCCACCCTTGAAAATGGCGTTATGTTATCATTTATAACTTACTTTACAGGAACTGTAAGTTCTCATTTGTGTATTCCTTTTATATGAGTTGCTTACAAGAATCATATAAGCAAAAGATGACTGCAGGCTGTGTAGAAATTTTAAGTTTTTGGGCGTTTTATATATTTTTCTTCATTTCAAATATGCAGGTTGATTTATTCCATCTGCAAAAGAGCTGCCCTACCATAAACTGGAATGAGGAGTACAATCAACACAAGAAGGCAAGTGTTAAAATCCAGAGTCAATTAATCTCAATAATCCTTACTTAGTGCCGTTAATGGTTTAATGGAAAATGGAAACATGAATTTTATGTGTATTTGCCAAGCTTTAGCCATTTAAGGATAAAGGTGCACTACTATATACATATATTGTCTGCGACAACTCCTTAGCATGGTGGCTTGATATGGTTTTTTTTTTGCATGCATAATCTTCTAATATTGTTGATCTTATGGTTTTTAGTAAGTTACTTAATGACTCTTGTTATCCAAGTAATTTTGGTTTGATTGATTTCTCTGGGGTCTTGTTTGTTACTTCATTTCACTTGAGTCGCTTGTTTCTGATGTTCTTAAATGTGTTTTATGCTATTTTGTTTTAGGTTAATGCTCGAATATTGTTTATTGATCCTTCAACGAGAGCTGTTGGTTTGACATTGAATCCACATCTTGTCCATAACAAGGCTCCTACTTCGGTAAGTTATTTTGCATTCATAAATCTCTAAGGTCGTGCACTTTATGCTCTGAGATTAAATTCTGGAGTCAGAAGTTTATCTTTCCTTTTTCATTTTTCACTATTGTGTGTTGTGCAGCTGTAGTCTGTACAGTTCATTTTTCACTCAAAGCCATCAAGGATCTAGTTACAGCATACAGTTCATTAGAAATATTTTCAACATCTTTCCAGGCCAGCTCACTAGAAATACTGAAGGACATCAAGGATCTAGCTACAGCTGCAGCATACATGTCTCTCCAAGTGGATGTGCAGAGTGTTAAAATTGCTGCACAACACATGGTCTGCGACAACCCTGATTTCTTGAGAGTAACATCATTTGCTTTGATGTGCAGAGTATTAAAATTGGAGACATATGTAACGACTCAAAAGTAGTTAGGGTTGACAGAGGATTAGGCTTTCTGCTTGAAATACCATCTACCCCGGTTCCAACTCCGGCATACGCCAGTGTATGTTCATACTGTGGCTATAATTGTGATGCTGCTTTTGCCTGCATATTTGTTGCCATTTAGATGATGAATCTTTTTTTCGTTAATTGTATTAATTATCGATATCCAATGTGGCTGAAGAGGATGCTCGAAAGCTTGAAAAGAAGTTCAAGTAAGGTAGTCGTGTTTGTGTAAGAATTCTTGGTTTTAGACACCTAGAAGGGCTTGCGACAGGGACTTTGAAGGTGATGCTTCTATGTTTAACCTTACTTTTGGTGACGAACACTTATTTAATATTACACCTTGCGGCATATTGTATTGTAGAAAGGGAGCTGCAGAGTTTCTCCATGAATACCCATATTACCCTGTATTGGAATGATCATTTACTGAACGACTTTGCCATGAACTTTGAAGTTCAGGCTCTTCTTCTGAAAAAGCCTGAGCCTAAATGGCATCCAACATGTATCAAAAACATGTTTTGCATTATTTCCTAAAATGTTGAATCCGGAAGTCATTTAGCCATATGATCATATTAGCCCAATCTGAAGATTGATGCTCAAGTTGTATGGGCAACTAAAGATGGAAATGCATGAGAGGACGGTGTCATCTCACTTTCAGTTAAACTTCTGCACACTTAAAGATCCAAATTTGAGTTGTCCACCATAGGATCTAAGTAGGACTTGTTGCATAGACAGACCAAATAAGAACAACCTCTACAGTCTACTGCAAAGCTTAGGGTCCCAGGGACAACTTGTTGATATAACAACCTATAAACACAGAATGTTATAGCCAGTTTCTTTTTTTTTTTTATTCATGTTTAACCGTTTAACATATACAAGTGGATTAATCAAGAACGAACTGAACTTAGTAATTTTTTATTTTCTGTATATTTGTATTTACCAAGCAGTGGTGCAATTAGAATTTTTCTGGTTTGACTGGGGGATTAGGTTGAATTAGAACCTCATCTTGTTTGTTTGAGTCAGACTTATGTGTTTCCATGCCCCTTCGAGACCCCAAAAAATGGACAACTTTCTTTTCTTAGGAATGCCAATGGTAGTGGTAACCCTGTTCCCTGATCTTGTTCACTGAATGAGCCTTTTAGTGTTATGTAAAGGTTCCTTGTACCATATGTTGTGTAAAATTTCTTTGAGCTAAATGTTGTGGATATCCTTGTGTCTTAGGAAGCAACCAAATGCCATGTGTTGCTAACTGAATATATGCTTATAGCTCTCTTTTTGTAGCATTTCATACCATAGACTTTGATTTTATACTTTTCACCATCTATAAAAATCAAGGTTCTCTCTCTCTCTCTCTCACACACTAGGTGTTGCCCTTGGCGATTTACAAGTATGTCTAATTGGATTTCTGTGAGGCAGGCAAGCGCTATGGAAGGGACAGTCTTCACTCATTCGGATGTCAAGACTGGGATGGTGGTGAGGGGTAAAGTCATAGCTGTGGACAGCTTTGGTGCCATCATGCAATTTACTGGTGGTGTGAAGGCACTTTGCCCTCTTACTCATATGTCTGAATTTGAAATTGCAAAGCCTGGAAAAAAATTTAAGGTATCTCATATGTGTACTCTTTTCGGCCATGGTATATATTCACTGGACTCTCCTGTGGATTTTACTTTTTTTATTTTATTTTACAGGTTAGTGACATTGAAGTGATTATCATCATCTGATATTTTTTCATCCCATTTCCCGTGTTCACTCTGCAGATTGGAGCTGAACTTCTGTTCCGTATGCTTGGTTGCAAGTCCAAGAGAATAACTGTTACACACAAGAAAACACTTGTATGTAATATCTTTGTTTTAAATTTTGAATCTACCATATTTTTCATTGGTTGGCTTAGTATTTCTTAGATGCATTGCACACCTTGTGGATGGTTGTGTTTTCCTCTTCCTTTCTATGCGGTGTGTTCCGGGGGCATTCACTATTGTTATATACAAATTTGATCTGGAAAAAAACATGACAGTGTGGAATAAATTTGGAGATTCATCGAAAGATCAATTGTTGACAAACTATTTGTTTCCTGTCCTTCCTATTATTTTTGATACATATTTTGTATTGTCTTTCAGTCTTCTACAAATGGTATTCATGTGGTTGATTTACAGGTGAAATCAAAACATGGGATTGTTAGTTCATATGCTGATGCTGCTGATGGATTAATCACCCATGGGTGGATAAGAAAGATTGAAGAACATGGATGCTTTGTCCATTTTTACAATGGAGTCCAAGGATTTGCTCCAAGGCAAGGCCCCCGACCACTTAGCTTGCAATCAAAATAATCTCTTGATTTTGCTCTTATAAAAAAATCTCGACTCGATTAATGCAAGTCCATACTTGGTATATTAAAGATGTCTTCTCATTTGGCGGTGTTAATTTTACTTGCATGTGTTGTTTTCCCCTGCCTGGTTGGTGATTTCCTTACTATAGATGTTTCATTTCCTAGCATCGATGTTTCAACGTATACGTTTGTTGGCATTGTACTTGTTGCTAAGACCAACTTAAATTTTAGGCTCAACCAAGGTAAGACCAGTACTTTTTTTTTTTGTGTTAAAGTTCAGGCACTTGCTTGACATGATTTAAATGAGAGTTTAAAAGTTTAGTTGAAGACATATGCATGTTAATAAAAGGAAAGGATAAGTAAAAGAAAGTGGTATTTTTTGTACCTTTAGGGTGTGTTTGTTTGAGCTCGCTAGCTTTCGTTGGCTTGGACTGGATTATGTAGTAATCTAGTCCCATGTTTGTTGACAGTCCGGGACTAAGTTTAATGAGATTAGAAGGGACTCGCGGGGACTAACTCCCTCGCTAGCAAACCTGTCGAGAACCATGGGATTAGCGGGGACTAACTCCCTCGCGTCTTCCGCTGCTTCTATGTTCACAAACGCCGAGAGCCATCATCATTCCCCTTTGCCAATTCCCCCTTCCCCTCTTCCTCTCTCCTCGGTTTCTTCTCTTTCTGCTCCGCCGAGATCTGAGCTTGGCTCGAACTTGACCGCGACGACGACAGTTGCTCCATCCTGATGGTACTGTAGTTCTGCTGCTGCGATGACGACTCAGTAGTAGTCGACTTCTCCTGCATAGAAGATATTCTAAGCACGCTTGAGAATCGCTGCAGGCCGGTTCCGCCGCTCCAAAGACTTGCGGCTCCGATTGAATCCACAGAATTGGAAAGCTCCCCCTAGTTGGAATCTTGCACCGAACAAAAATCAAAGAAACCAAGCTCGATTCTTCATTTTGCAGAATTTTTTTGGCAATTAATCAGAAAAAAAAAGAGGAAAGGGAAGGAGAGTGCGGGACGGAGAGAACGAGGGAGATAAAGTGGGAGAAAAGGATGGAGGCTTCTACAGAGAGAGAGAGTATTATTAGAATAAAAAAGATAGAATTAATTAATATAATATTATTAGATATGAATTAAAAAATATAATATTGTAGTTTGTTATTATCATTCTTTTTAGTCCGACACTGCACCAAACGCTTCATTAAGTCAGTCCAGCTTAGTCTAGTCTAAGCCAGTCTAGCTTAGTCCCTAAAGCTAATCCAGTCCGAGATAGTCCGGTGCAACAAACGCACCCTTAGTCTACAAAGATGAATGTATTTATTTGACAGTGGAGATGAATGTATTGCATGGTTTGATTGTACAATTTATGGTTGGGAAAATTCCCACTCTTGAACAGTTGTATTTTATATTTTTACAATTTGTGCGATCATTTTAACTGCATGACACTGAACTTATGAGAGCGTTTGTATGAAAATACTTTTACCTTCACATTGTGTTTTTGGTTCACTGTGTTTCTGTTTACACATTTCCTCAAATAAAAAATTGTTATGTTCAAGAAAAGTAAGTTGTCATAAAAATTGTTCTGTTTACACATTCAATAATTGCAATGCGATAATTTTATGGCTGTGTTATGTATTCATGAACAATGTTAATTATTCAAAATATAAAAAAATATGAGAAGGGGGTGTCAGTTGAAGTGGGTACCAATTGTGGTGGCATATTTATAAATTTTGTTTATTTTTACATGCATTTAAGTTTTACAATACATGATTGTCCTATTTATAATTAGCATAAATATTGTTGATATATTGTAACATTTATTTTATTGATTTTATACAAAATCACCCAATACATACATACATACATACATATATATATATATATATATCTATTTGATGTGAAGTAGTTTTTTGATAACTTTCAAGAGCAAAGAGTAAGCTGTCAACTGAGGAATATGGCCTTCTGTGCTTAGGATCTTGACTTTTGCAGGACCACGAAGCTGTTTCTTCATGTAAAATGCAACTGATTTCGGAATGATAAAATCTTTCCTGGACTGGATTATGCTACAAGGAACAATGACTTGAGGCAGAAGTCCTCTGTAGTCACTTAGAAACGCAACTCTAGCTACACTGACAGCAATCCTGGGCTTCATTCTTCCCAAACTGTTTTCGAACTCGGTGATGGCACTTGTGTCGTTTACACCTATTGCTGTTGTTGCAGAACTTGAAACCCAATTTGTGAAATTGTTTTCTATTTGGTTGAAGAGTGCATCCAGTTGTGGTCTGGTGAGGCCTCCGTTGTATCCTGTGGTGTTGAGGTACCTACAAGCAAAATAAACGTAAATGACCAGTAGATAAATTGTTTACCTATATATAAGTAATGTTCTCTTATTAAATTTGTAGGAAACTTCATTCTAATCATTGGCAAATATGACTTTTAGACTAAAACCATGAGTAAGATCAAAACATAATTTTAGTCCATTGATACATTAATAACCTCATTTATTAATTACATTTGCATTTTTTAATTATTTCTCTTTTTCTTCCTAATTTTAATGTATTAATTTTATTTCATTATAATTATAATTTTCATTTCATTTATCGTAATATATTTTGTTGTAAATATTTAGATAAACTAATTTTTGTTATACAATATATTTCGATGTACTTTGTCTTCTTCATTTATGTACATTAAATTCATTATAATACATTTCGATGCATACATTTATGTACACACATTTCCGTACATACATTTTAATATAAAAACATTTAGGTACATTAATTCAATATAATACATTTCGGCGCATATATTTCGGTACACACATTTAGGTACATTCATTTAATATAATACATTTCGGTGCGTATATTTTAGTACATACATTTCGGTACTAACATTTAAATACATTAGTTCAATATAACACATTTCGGTACATACATTTAGGTACATTAATTGAGTCTTTCAAGTTTGAAGAATATTAAATAAAATTAATAAATTAAAAAAAAAAATTTATGGTAAAAAAAATAAATTAAAATTTGCATATTAATAAATTTAAATATTTAATGGGAGACACTAAATAAAATGCACATTAATTATTTTGAATCAATGACACATCAAGGAACTATAATCAATATGTAATCTAGCACCAAGTTTATTTTAAATTGACTTTTTAGCCAAAATGGTCATTGAGATTTGCATAACACATCACTTTGGTCATTGAGATTGAAAATCAATAGAAATGGTCTCTGAGATTGTCCACCATCCATTATTTTGATAATTCCGTTAAAAACTCCATTAAGTGTCCCGGAGCTCTTAGCGGAAAGTTTGGGCAACTTTCAAAGTTTCGTAACTTAATAGTTTTTTAACCAAATTCGAACCATAATATATCAAAATGAAGATAGTAAAGTGTAGAACAAAATTATACCTATTTGGAAGCCCAATGGTTGCCAGAGATTGCCGGAAAATAGCCTGAAAAGTGACTGATCCGTGGGAAAACTGGAAAACTCGTCGGAAACTGGGTAAACTTTAAACGTGCATAACTTCTTCAATACTCAACGAAATTGTGTGATTCAAAAAATAAAAATCATACTTCTTAATGAAACAAAGAGAATGGTACCTTTATCAACTAACTCGTTGTGGTTTGGCCGGAAAACGGCTCGAAAGTGGCTATCTTGGTCTCGAATTAGCCACTTTCGAGCCATTTTCCTGCCAAACCACAATGATTTAGCCGTCGAGTAAGGTACCATTCTCTTTGTATAGTTGAGAAGTATAATTTTTGTTTTTGAATCACTCGATTTCGTTGAGTATTGAATAAGTTATGAACGTTTAAAGTTTACCCAGTTTTCGGCGAGTTTTCCAGTTTTTCAGCTGACCAGTCACTTTTCAGGCTATTTTCCGGCCATCTCCGACAACCATTAGGCTTCCAAATAGGTATAATCTTGTTCTACATTTCCTATCTTCATTTTGATATATTATTGGTCGAATTTGGTTAAGAAACGATTAAGTTACGAAGCTTTGAAAATTGTCCAAACTTCTGGCCAAGAGTTCTAGGACACTTAACAGAGTTTTTAACAGAATAACCAAAATAATGGATGGTGGACAATCTCAGGGACCATTTCTATTGATTTTCAATCTCAGGGACCAAAGTGATGTGTTATGCAAATCTCAGGAACCATTTTGACTAAAAAACCTTTTAAATTTCAATCTTCTTGAAGGATTAAAATTTAAAAAAAAAAAAAACCTCTTCAACATATAAAGTTATAAAACCTAAGTCCCTTGCAATCCTTTTTTTCTTTCAAATTCTCAATCTCTCATTTTCTATTGAATTTGTAAATCAACTCTCATATAAGTTGAGGTAACCATAACTATAAATTTATATTTTGTTTTTCAATAATTTTATTATTCAAATATTGGATGACTCTAATATCCGTTACTGTTATGTTGATTTTAGGAAGAATATAAGAGAACCAATTGGCACTATTAATTTTATTTAATAAGGCTTTATTGTTCTTTATTATCTTGAAATCTTTAGCCTATTGATGATGGTTAATTATCTAGAGCATAATATAATAATAATTAATAATATATATAAAAAAAACCTACATAAATGTACAACGGATTGAAGTGCCTAAGAACTCAAGAGCCCTTTTTTAGTGGCTTGTCTTGGGCATCGAAACCTCAAGATCCGCCCTGCATGTATTTACCATATTGGACGCTAGTATTAGAGGGCAAAAGGGATAAACAGTGAAGTATATACATAAGAGGTTTCACATGGTGAATACACGGTTCTATTCTCATCCTGTTTTTGCTATAGTAAAACGGAATCCTGCTAAAAAACTGCTCCTTTATTTGTTGGGGGAGAGAGAGAGAGTTATGACCTGGGAGAGCCACTTAGCAGGATAAGGTGCTGGAAGAGGTGTGGTCTTTGAATAGAAGCGATGCATCCAACCATGGCAGCCATGGAGTGACCCATATATACAGTCCTACTGACATTGAGATGATTAAGAAGGCAGACTAGGTCGTCTGCATAAGCACTGAAGTTGGAGTACCTTTTGGGATCATAGAATTTGGGATCAACATTTGGAGAGTAAACCCAGTCAAAAACCACAACCTTGAAGTAGCATGCAGGAAAGGGGATAAGGAAATGCCAAACTGTATGGTCTGAACCAAACCCATGAGCAAGAACCAACGTCTGAGTTCCATTTCCGTACACATGAGTATTTAGGGCTTGGACAATCCCTCCTCCTTGACATAAGGCTTCCATCGATCTCTATGTAATAGTGAGTGAAACAAAATTAACAAATATTTGAGTGAGGGATTGTGTGTGTGTATTTATATACACATGCAGAAACTAAGAAACTAACATAGTAGGATGAAAATATATATTGGGTTTTGGATACTGTTTACATAAGTATGCAGATCCAGAAATGGTATTCGTACACACTGTTTTTTCATGAAGATATATATTTATGTTTGGTCTTTGAATCGAAAATAAAGTAAGGAGAGAAAAATTAAATAACAAAAAATAAACAAGAATTTACGTGTACTTAATGAGTTAAATCAAGATATGTGTCGCATTTTAATTGCGTATATGTTTCAGCATTAGCAATATTATATCCCTTCCAAGTCCTTGGACTCCATTTATTAATTCTTTAATGTGAGTCAAAGTCAAACCGAATATCATTTTGCATGGAATTTGGATCCTCTTCTGAGCTAATGGAGTCATGGACCGTTAAATTTTTATCCAATGACTACAATCATTATAACTTTAAAGGGAATCCCCTATTTGTAATCGTTGAATAAAAATCCAACGGTCCACGAAGATTGATCATGAGTATCCTCTCTAGGAGAGGATCCAAATCCTTTTGCATGAGTTTGGATTTTCGATGAGCAATGGTAAGATAATATATTAAACTTGTAAATGATAATGTGTGAGTGGCTAGGGCACGACATCGATGCAGTTGGATATCGCAATTCTTGTGGACAAAAGAAAAGCTTGGTTAAATGCAATTCAACAAATTTGCCGTCCTTGAAGTTATTGTGGTAGTTGTGCATACGTTTTTTGAATTGAATGATGAATATAATTTGAGATGTGATATTCACACACTTTTTATTACTTCTCACATATTTTTTTAATTTTTGATCATCGGATCGGATGAATTGAAAAACATCAACGGACAGAAATTAACAAAGGGTATGTGAGAAGTAAAATAGGGTGTGTAGATAGCACATCCCTATAATTTAGTTTCGATGCTATCGATTGGTTAAGATGCAAGAGGCTGTTCTACAGTCTATATCCCCATTTAATAGCTTAGGTGCAAGAAAGAAACATCTGCCTTCTTTGTTTTCATACCGATATTATATTGTGTTTTAGTGGTACGTGAATGAGTCAATCGAAGATATATTGTTTGATGAGTAACGGCATAAGTAAAGGAAGTAGGTGAATTATACATTTTATTAAGAATGTAATCCATATCGGAAATATGATAGGATATATTACTACTATAAATGAATGGTTTGAAGACTAATAATACCTAGGCATTTTGTGATAAAATTCAAAACATGTCAGGTTGTGCATGTAGTTAAGTTGAGAAAGTGTTGGTGTGATTAATTATGGACAGTTGGCCCTGAGAAAATATCGATTTAATTAGTTGTGGACCTCTAGCTCAACTTTGAGATCTTGACATGGCATCGTAAATTGTACCCCCGATCCCGACTATTCCAATTGTGAACATGGCCCTGACCTTGACAACGAATCTTCAATTGAAAAAGGTTACTAATGGGGAATTGGTTACACGTGTGGCCCACTAATAACGTTAGAAACTTGACAAAATATACTACTATTATGCAGATGATATATTACTACTCTACAAGTGGTTAAGTTGAACAATATTGGTGTGATTAGTTGTGGGCTGCTAGTCCAACTATGAAATCTTGAAAATTTCCCCCAAGTAGCCAGTATTGCCTACTTTAAAGTTGATAGGTATATCAATGCTCACAATATTCTTCTTATAATCAAATTGTTGGATAAATATCAACAATTAATGATAAATTTATATATGCTGATAAATAATAAATGCAAATAGATAATTAAGCAGAGTATAAATAAAACGAAATTAATATTAATCAGAGAAACTGAAGATCGAGGTTTGCATACCGCAATGTCTTTGAAACAGAATTTCGTTCTTACTCTGTGCTTGTAGTTCGATGGATGTCTGTTTCACCAAGATTCAACGACCTAAGTCGAGATTCTAACATCGGAAAACTAGACTTATAGCGAATATCTTTGAGATTCTAGCACTAGAAAACTAGACTTATGGCAAATATCTTTGTGGTACTCTGAGTATGTTTTGTATGTATGGATTGATGTTTTTTCAGTGAGTTGAATGATATGCAGATGCATGTATTTATATTAGTCATATGTCTATTTGCAACATACATGTTTTTGGGAGGCGATTGTCCAACACAAAGGGTGAGTTGCTCCATCTTTTTCTTAGACTTTTTCATGCGCCAACAGACTTCATCTGAAAAGATGAGTCTATTGAAACATAAAAAGATTAATTAAATCCGAAATTAATTTACTAAATTAAATTAACTATTGAATTTAATTATAGAAAAACTAATGAAAAAGGCTTGAAAACTTTGAGTTTTAATGACAAGAACAAAATAAAGGGTAAAGTGAATGGTAACAGGATTGACTTTTTAGTGTAAAAATATGGTTTTTTGTTAAAATGAACAGTACCGTGAGCTTTTCGTTAAAACTTCCTTTAATTATTAAAGTCAGAGCCCAAGAGTCCCCAGGCCCATCAAGTAAAAAGATGGCCTTTGGGCTTTGGGGTGTGATCATTTGCTTACAAGGTCACAAGACTCAAAACCAAAATTTATTTAAACCACTCAAGTGAAAAGATGATCAATTAGCTGAAATATTTGGGTCCAAACCTTTTCTTCTTAGCATCAGCTATATCAAAGTAATATGAGAGAGAGAAAAAATTATTGTAAAATATTGGATATTGTAATAAAAAGGGAATGCCCAAATGTATAAAGGAAATAATAAGCACACACTTTTTTTAGCTTCTCACACGCTTGTTTAATCTTGCCCATTGTTTTTGTTTGATTTATTCAATCCAACGCCCAGAATTAAAGGAGTGAATGAGAAGCTAAAAAAATTGAAAATAACCTCCCACTAATAACTTTGTTGCATATGGTATAGGCCAACACAGAGTTTAGGGTTTATGATGGTTTACATGCACCAAAGTGAACCATTAATTAAGCATTTAGAGGAGTTCTAAATTGGATCATAATTAGGACTAACAGACCTAAAACAACCACATTAGGGTTATAGACCCAGATGTGTGTAAGCTTAAGTTATGATCAGTTTGAGAACGTTCATAGTCCGCTGGACTTATTTGATTCGGCCAAAAGCGCTTTAAAATAAACAAAATTGAGAATTTACATGACACATGATAGATGATCATCATTTTAGTTTTCTTACAAGAAAAAATATGATCATTTTTTACCTCCAACTGTCCACAACAGCATGCCTCTGGTTTTTGAAGTGATTGAACATAAAAATCATATATCAGTGCATCAGCAACATGAAATTCATTTAACTCTTGATTTAAACATCTAACTAATTATTATATAACCCCCAAACGCTCGTACATAATCTTAATGGAAAAAAAAAATAGTGTTTGAAGACAATTTTCGACTAACTAAAAACATCTCCAATCACCCAAAACACAACTCATGACTCAGAACTTAAAATTAGATCGACCATCAGTCGAGTAAAACTAAACTCTGGCAATAAGCATCAACATAGGGAAAGTAAATTGACTTCGTTCTGATTCCAGTAACTTTAACTTGGTGTGACTCTGGATCATATAAAACAAACTTAGGGTCCCAACTATCCTGAATCATGTGAACTTTGCCAAGATTTGTTCTAATTCCCAATGGCCAGGCTACAAATCCAGTACTACTAGGCAAATAAATCGTCCGGATCATTTTCCAAGCATCCACTTCCAGAACCCATATGTCAACATACGAATCCATCACAGCAAGACCAGTTCTTGTATGGAATAAAGCGAGTGATTTTTCAAACACTCCAATACGCATTTGATTTTGTACTATTTCAGGAAACATAATCTTTCGAGAAACCTCACTGCCCAAATCGAAAGCAAGGATTGAAGTGCAAGAATGCTCTTTTATAATCCAATACACAACTCCATCCAAGAAGGTACATCTGGATTCCCAAAAAACGGCATTATCTGAAAAAGAAGGCATCGTAGTTATTCTTCTCCAAGCATTTGATCTAAGACTGTAAACCTCAACTTCAAGGATGACATTCTCTCGTGGAAGCGAAGCCCCAACAAGCCTCACAACCTTATAGTCGTTTTCGCCACTGTGAAACCCGAAACCAAGATTAACGAAATTTATTATTTGCCGAATGCAGCCATTAGGAAGCCTCTTGATTTTTCTGATTGATGGATTCCACAAGTATATAGGACTATTCAAACTAAAGAAATTACAACCAGAGATACAAACCAATCCATTGCACGAACCATGCACAAAGAATCTGAAACCTAATTTGTTCGCATGAAGCTCTATATCCAAACACTTGGACAATGTTTCAGCATCAAAAAGTGACAAACAATTTTTTTTGTCTGTCTGGATGAGTAGATACTCACAAGAATTTCCCGCGACGTTTTTTTTGAGATGGGCATTTTTGAAAATAGAACTGCTAATTAAAAATTTCCAAGATTTACAAACACATCTAAACCGCAAAAGAGATTTCACCGGCAATGTTGCAAGGATATCAAAGAAGATTTCTTCGGGTATAGTGTGGTTAAACATATTGAAAAATAAAGTTAATCAGATATTTAAGAAGTAAAGCAAACCTGATTTACAAGATTTTGACGGGATATTTGAGAGTTTGATGATGGAATGCAAAGAGAACCCGAGAACGAGTACAAGCAAGGCTGTAGAAGGTGAAAAGAAGGGTTTAAAGGTGGCTTTGGAGATTCAACTAATTAAAGTTGAATTGAATTCGATTATTTTCGTTGATATAGTTAACTCTTTTGAAAGATAGTAGAACAATGTTTATAATCTGGACCGAATAAATGAGCGAGCTAACTGATCATTAATACTTACAGTAGTACAAGAGGAATCCGTATAGGATAATATACAAGTAATAGCGTGATTACAAATCAAAACAGAACAAGAATGGAACCGCTGATAGGACTCCTGATAGAATTATGTTTGCGCAGGAACCATATCCTCATTGGACTTGGATTGTTCTTCAGCAACAGGAGGCGAAGAAGACACACGTGGTTTATCATCTTTCAGATCCATCACAAGTCTTAAGCTCGAAGGATTACTTAAAAGTAAGAAAAGTTAATTTGCAATTAATTACAACACTTGTGGAACAAGGAAACCTAATTAGGGTTGTATCGTACTAAACCTTCAATGAAAAGTCATAAATTAAAACAAAACTTATCATTTTTGTGGTCATGATCCGGACAATACTATCAGAGATACAAGAACTTAATACAAAGAGAACGCAGGGAACGAGTACATGCAAAGCTATAGAAGGTTTAAAGAAGGGTTAAAGGGTGGTTTGGAAATTCAAATGATTATAGTTGAATTGAATTGGATTATTTTCGTTGATATTGTTAACTCATTCATGTCCATCACAAGTCTTGAGATAGAAGAATTAGGATTACTTAAAAGTTGTCACTTAGTACTACGGTTTAGTGGTATTCCTTTTCATTTGCAAGTGTGGTGAGGTCTTAGGTTCAATTCTAACCATAAGCGAATTGAACCACATTATTGATAGCCCATTGTGAGGCTTTGTTGTTGGTGTAATTGAATTGGCTGAGATATGCACCGTTGATGGTAAAGTCGGAGCATTTGTACTCCGAATTTCTTTTGTTGGCCTGAAACTGGACCCCAATCAAAACAGCAAAAGGCACGAGAAAGAGAGCAATCACAAAGACGCCAAAACAGATTGCGCCGCACGCTGGCGGAGAGCTTTTAGTTGCAGACATGGCTAAGGAGCCGGGATCCTTGCAGTCTGAGCTTGTAGTTGCAGACATGGCTAAGGAGTCGGGATTCTCGCAGTCTGAGCTTGTAGTTGCAGACATGGTGAACATAGGAAAGAGAATACAAATTACAGACACGGCTAAGATCCATATATATGTGAAGTTAAGAGAAAATGAAGAGGGTGTTGTGAAAACTGGATTGAATAATGAGAACGAGGCTCACCGTTAATATATACAAAACTTACAAAGACAATCCTAATACGTGTAGGAGTACGACTAGCCAACTCCGTATCTGTCTCGGACTGGGATGGAAGAGTTCATAGAAAAAGTTGTTTATTATTTAGAAAAATAAATTTTAGGGCTTTTAGATTTTAGCGTTTAAATAAGATTCTTTTTAGATTTTAACTTGAACGGTGTCTAAATCTTATTCAAGTCTCAGTTATTAAAACTTATCATACTTACGTACTTATAGGACATTTATTATTTATAAACTTACCATCCGAAATTCTCAACCTTTCCATAATTAATGTATTTTGTTATGCTCCAATCATATTAAGAGATAAAAATTTATTCCAAATTAAAATTCTTATAATTTTAAAAAGTCAACAACAATACAAAACCAATTTATTTAAAATAATAAAAAAAACTTATAGGTAGGGAAGTATTGGTACCTAAATTTTGATACGAATGTATTGGTACATAAGTTTTAATACAAATGTATCGGTACATAAGTTTCGGTATGAATGCATCAGTGTAGAAATTTTGGTATAAATGTCTCGAGACGTAACTATAGTAAAGACCTCTTGTGTAAATCATTGTCTTTTACCTGTTAGGTAGTCAGCTTCAAATTATATTTTCAATTACATTCCTCAAATAGGATAATATATTTAACACTCACCTTTGCTTCAAATCATTGTCTTTTTACCTGTTAAACTTAGTTTTAGTCAGCTTCAAAATAATTTAGTGGTATATTCAGATTTTATTTTATTTTCAAAAAAAATTATGTGGCCTAAATAGCCATTTCATATTAGTGTGCAAGTAATTTAATAATTAATTTTTATGAAAAAAAAAAAACCCCTATTATATAACAAACAAAAAAGCACAAGTTGAAAAATTAAATTAATATTAATGGATCTTAGTCTCCCTAAACTAATTATCTATGGGGCAGTGTGTAGTCTTGTCAGCATCCCAAGATGTCCCGTTGAAACTCAAAGGAAGCCTTAGATTGTATATGACCTCGCCCCTGTGGATGACCCCTCGCCAATGAACATCGTACGGTTTGTATAGCCATAATATTTTAGATTCAGTAAGATCTGTTGACTTTGTATAGTTCTTGTCCTGGAAAGTAATGATCACGTCGATACTGTAAAGATCAGCTGCAGGGGTCGCAAATTCCTCAAACAACATGTCGTGCCCTCGAACCACTACATTCTGAAAAACGGTTGTCTTCTTGGATGTTGACATCGACCGATCCACCAAAGTCACCTGACCAATTCTCTTGTCTTGATAGTATGCGCTGACTTCGACGTCAATCAACGCGTGGAAGATTTTCTTCTTAGGGTTTGTGAGGGTAATGTTGAGGGCGAGGTTGTACGAGAGAGTAAGATTGCTTTCGGTATAACTGAATTGGCTGAGATAAGCACCGTTGATGGTGAAGTCGGGGCATTTGTACCCGGGAGTACTTTTTAAGGTGAACCACAACACGAGCCCAATCATAGCAGCAAAAACCATAATCATAGTGCGGGCGGCACAGATTTTGTTGCACGCTGGCGGAGATCTTTCAGTTGCAGACATGGCTAAGGGCCGGGGAATCTCGCAGTCTGAGGTTGTAGTTGCAGACATGGTGAAGATAGGACAGAGTATAAATTGCAGACACGGCGAAGATCGATATATATGTGAAGTTAAGAGAGAATGAAGAGGGTGTTGTGAAAACTGGACTGAATAATGAGAACGAGGCTGGGCGTTAATATATACAAAACTTACAAAGACAATCCAAATACGTGTAGGAGTAGGACTAGCCAATTCCGTATCTGTCTCGGACTGGGATGGAAGAGTTCATAGAAAAAGTAGTTTATTATTCAGAAAAATAAATTTTAGGGCTTTTGGATTTTAGGGTTTAAATAAGTTTCGGTATGATTGTATCGATACATAAGTTTCGAAGTATCAGTTTAGAAGTTTTGGTATAAATGTCTCGGTATGAACTATAGTAAAGACCTCTTGTGTAAATCATTGTCTTTTACCTGTCAGTTAATCAACTTCAAATTATATTTTCAATTGCATGCTTCAAATAGGATAGGGTAACCCAATAGGATAATATGTTTAACACTCATCTTTGCTTCAAACCATTTTCTTTTACCTGTTAGTTTTAGTCAGCTTCAAAATAATTCAGGGTTGTATTCCGATTTTTTTTTTTTTTTTTCAAAAAAAATTATGTGGCCTCAATAGCCATTTCATATCAGGTCTATAAGTAATTTAATAATAAATTTTTATGAAAAAAACGCTATTATTAACAAACAAAAAACACAAGTTGAAAAATTAAATTAACATTGATGGATCTTAGTCTTCCTAAACTAAGTATCTATGGGGCAGTGTGTAGTCTTGTCAGCATCCCAAGATGTCCCCTTGAAACTCAAAGGAAGCCTTAGATTGTAGATGACCTCATCCCTGGAGGCTGGAGATGACCCCTCGCCGAGGAACATTGTTCTTGTCCTGGAAAGTAATGGTCACGTCGATACTGTACAGATCAGCTGCAGGGGTCACAAATTCCTCAAACAACATGCCGCGCGCTCGAACCACTACATTCTGAAAAACGGTTGTCTTCTTGGATGTCGACATCGACCGATCCACCAAAGTCACCTGACCAATTCTCTTGTCTTGATGGTATGCACTGACTTTGACGTCAATCAACGCGTCGAAAAGTTTCTTCTTAGGGTTTGTGAGGGTGATGTTGAGGGCGAGGTTGTACGAGAGAGTAAGATTGCTTTCGGTATAACTGAATTAACTGAGATAAGCACCGTTGATGGTGAAGTCGGGGCATTTGTACCCCGAAGTAGTTTGTATGATGAACCACAACACGAGCCCAATCATAGCAGCAAAAACCATAATCATAGTGCGGGCGGCACAGATTTTGTTGCACGCTGGCGGAGATCTTTCAGTTGCAGACATGGCTAAGGAGCGGGGATTCTCAGAGTCTGAGGTTGTAGTTGCAGAGTTACAATGGGTGAAAAACGGGGTTAAGTTGTAGACTAATGTATAACTATTCCACGTAGTATAACAAGAGTGAGTCTCTCTCATCGCATTAGTGATAAAACTACTGAGAAAGATAAAAAGAGGATAGAGGGTTATATCCAAGATTTTTCTCCATCAACTAACCTGTGATACCTTCACACGAAAGCATAGAATTGCACAAGGCAGTACTTCCGGTAAATAATAAAAGTTGGTCATAATTAGGCATTCAGAGGAGTTCTAAATTGGATCATAATTAATTAGGATTAACAGCCCCAAAACCAACTCATTAGGTTACAGATTCTGATGTGGGTAAGCTTAAGTTATGACCAGTTTGAGAATGTTTATGGTCAGCTGGACTTTGGTTTGGCCGAAAACGCTTTAAAATAAATAAAATTGAGAATTTACATGACACGTGATCGTTGATCATTTTAGTTTTCTTACAAGAAAAGAGGATGATCATTTTCACACTCTAATTTTCCACACTCACGTACCTCTTGTTTTTGAAGTGATTGAACATAAAAATCATATACCAGTGGATCAGCAACATGACATTCATTTAACCCTTAATTTAAACATTTGAATAATGATTATATAACCCCAAACACTTGTACATAGTTGTTAAAAATAAATAAAAAGAAGTTACTTTTGGTGCATTGGAAAATTGAGACTATATTAAAACAAAGAAAGGGGATGCTGGGCAAACTAATGGACGCGGGATCTTGGTCCAAGAAAAAATAAAAGAACTGGTGGGGAAATTCAAGAGCGATGCTAAAAGCTATTATTTACAACGTGTCATCCGGACCATAGAAGGTAGAGACCTGAATTTATAGACAATTCACTTTAATAGCATGATGCAAAACCTTAAAAGAGGAAAAAAATGTCATATGAAATTGTCAAATACGACACAACGCTTAAGCCGTAAATATTTTTATTTAATAACTTACACAAAAGTAATGCCATGAATACGACATTATATGCAAGTATTACCACATAAACTTCATGAGTGTCACAAATAGTATTGTTTAAGGCATGCCAGTACTCTAGTGATTAAAACCTTAATTAAAGTCGTTATAACAAACCTCTCATTTTTTTGGTGGTAGCAGACCTTGGTTTGTTTAAGCAACGAGGTCAATATTAGAGTGGATGCACAAAGCACGGAAAGAAATTGAGAAATTGCATGGTACTAAAACACTAGGACACGGTACTACTAATTCATGAGTTACAATGGATGAAAAACAGGGTTATGTCGTAGGCTAATATATAACCATTCGACGTGATATAAAAAGAGTGAGTCTATCTCATCGCATTAGTGATCAACAAATGAGAAAGATAAAAAGAATAGGATAATGAAACGGTTATATCCAAGATTTTTTCCATCAAGCACACTAATACGTTTTGTTCCCAAATCGAGTTAGCCGCCTACCGTTGCAGCACCATCTGCTAAAATTTGTTGGCACGTTGATATATAACTAATGGAATGTTTGTGATACCTTCACATAAAAGCAAAGTATTGCACACGGCAGTACTTTCGGAAAAGAATGAAATTTACAGTAGAAATGCATTAAGATTATTATTTTTTGGATTGTTTCAAGTAAAAAGATATTGTTACATTGATTGTTTTATTTACCAGCAGCCCAAATGAGCAAGCACATCTACCCAAATACAGAATTACCTGAAAGCACTTTCATCCGTGTTCCACAGTTGCATTTCAAGGGCAGCAGTTGCCCCATCCAAGATTTTTCGCCTCATCGGCATGATGGATAACTCCGCAGTATTAACAGTTCAGAATTGAGATCTTGCAACAAGGTCGTTCAAATGTGCACAGTCGCCACCCGCCTGTTAGCTTCCTCGGTTGGAGGCTTGAAGCCAACTTCCAGCTCACAATCAAAAGAAAATCAACGTTTAGTTTAAGGCATAATGAACCCGCTCTAGGAGTTGAACAACCTGATTAACAGGTATTGGTACATTTCGTGATTTCAGAGAGGGCTTTGGTGTGCCTTGTGCACCAAAAGGTGTTGATAGTACATCCTCTTGTTGCATATTTGTGAGCTCCAAGAATTGAGAGAGCATGTCACCGTCAAGTATCTTAGGCACTCCCGCCTGCATCAACAAATATTACACAAAAAGCTCACCACCACACTCGCATAGGGACATGCTAACGAAAATATTAAACATGCAGACATCTGATGCACTCCATATTTTAAAATGAAACTATACAGCAGCAATTTTTTTTGTTTCTTTTTTTGCTCTCAAAGGCACATCGGAATTGAAAACTAAACCACCAAATTTATCAAGGTTTTCTTTATCACCGGGGAGGGGAATTCGAAATTGGAACTTGGGACCTCTTCCAACACTGGAAACAGAAATACCACTAGACTAAGGGTTAGCTCATGATTTATCTAGGTTTTTCTTTGAGACAAATTCTAATCAACTTTTAGAATCAGAATCTAATTTTAACTGTCAATGGTGTATATAGCATATTCTAAATAGAACTGTCAACAGTCCATTCTACCAGATGAAATCAAAATTGGATGGCTAACAGTGACCAATTTCATCATCATCTGCGTATATCTCCATAACAAATTTTATGGCAAAAGGGGAAAAACTGAAGGAAAAAAAAAAAGGGATCCAAAAGACAAATAACATGCACATGAAGGCATGCGAACACAGATCTACAATCCTACTCTCCTTACCGGGTTTTCACGACCACGATACTCATTGTGATCATTCCCAAGAATAGGAGCAGTTGACGGATGCACCACCAGTCTATCTTGGACAGCTTCTAAGAGTTCATATTCTTCCCTGGAAAACATAAATAAAGAAATACGCTTTGTTGTTAATAAAATAAATAAATTCAATATTTATTAAGCAGACAGACGGCAATGAAATGCAGTGCAACATAAAAAACGACCATTTCTAGAAGTAGCCATGGAAACTTTGGTGCACCAGTGGCTGTGGGAACTGATAAAGACAAGCTTTCTTCTTAATCTTCATTAGCCCCACAAAAAAAGCCTGGCCCGACAGCCTACTGAGCTATTGCCAGGCCAGCCAATGAGCTAGCTCGGCAATGGGTCTTCAATAGGCCCTGCCCGTGGGTTGTGGGCCAAGCCTAAAAACAAATTGCATATTGTATATTGGTTGATTGTGACAAAATACTTGCACTTTAGGGTATAGACGACTGGTACCTTGTTACAAAAAATGAGTGGATTTGTCATTGAACCATCTAGCTCAATAAAACTAACTCCCTTTTATCAACATGCTTTTGTCAGATTTACTTTGTTTTTGTTAATGGTAATACAAGTCATAAAACACAGGTTAAATGACCTGAAAATTGTGAGTGCTGGCTATAACATCTAAAGACTTTAAATTCATATCTAAGATATCAGACACCTTCTGTTTGTTGCAGAGCTCAAAGCATGGCAACTTTGATGAAAAAGAAGGTTAGCAAATGGGAGTTTAAGGCTATTTGTTTACCTGGATATTGGAACGAAGGTTATTATGCTTCCAAGCAGCGTACTCACAATGATAGCATTTCGAGAGAAGTCAATATTTCCATCACTGCCCTTCAATAGATCATCAGCTGGAAGTTTATATGAAAATGACCCCTAGAAAGAAAATTATTAATGTGAACACAAGGTAAGCATCGTGACATCCACAACAAAATAATGGCTACTTTCAACCAGAATTTTAGCAAGGGCAATGGATATAGTGATACCATCAATCATTTTTATAGAATGGTGCTATCCACACCCATTTTTACCCTCCACACACCCCTTGTTAATTTATGTCCTCTAATCTTCTTCAATTCATTCGATCAAACAGCCAAAAATTGAAAAGGTGTGTGGGAAGTAAAGAGGGGTATGTGGACTGGATAGCACCACCCCTTTTATATATTCTCAAAAAAAAAGATATTTTTTTTAGGTTTCCTTCATCATCAGCAACAGAAACTCTTAAATGTCAAGCAACCCTGACAATTGTCAAAAATGGGAGATTCTGTTCAAGACCAGGATCAAAAGAGCCAGCCAAATCCAAGGTGCGCCAGGTGTTCACCTCCGCCACAATTTTGACAAAAAGAGCTTTTACAATTTAAATTTAAAGTCAGGCTTGAAGATCCAATTTGAAAAAATACCCAATAATATTTTCTTCAGAACCCCAAAAACAAACAAAATAATAGCCCATTAATCTGTACTCTTTCCTATCCAAATAAAGGGGAAAATACAAACATAATCTAATTGAGATAGACACCGTACAACATTATCTTTACACTTTTTCCAAACATCAAACTATAAAACGTGTCAAAAAAGTAACGGTTCACATTTTTTTTCCAAGTACATGTTTACTTACAATTTGGTGAAAAATGAGATATTTATGAAAAGAAACAACTAGAAATTGGTGCCCATATGCAACATTAGAGTGTAAAAGATGTACCTTCCTGATGCTCATAGCTATCTCCCCCATATAATAAGCACAGCTCACTGTTAAATTACATTCTGGACTTGCACTATCTGGTTCACAGATTAGAAAGAAGGAAAAGTTAAATGGTATCACTTTCATCTGCACCAAATGTGCATGAACAGAATCTCTAGATAAAATGAAGGAAACCAAACAATATGAAAGTATTAACAAGTTTCACTACAACCATTCTTTTTCTGTTAAGAATCCACGACAACATTATCAATTAAATTATCACCTACATTGACTTTCCCATAAGTGACAGCACAAATTCTCTTGAGAGTGTCAGAAGATCCATCACGACATGAAAAAAGTGTTATGCTCATTACCATTTAATTCAGGCTGCCTGAAATATAACATACCAATTGTAAAACTACAACGTTCAATTTCCCACAAAACCAATTCTACAATACCATCCAGCCAATTGTGGTGAAGCATCTCTCTTATGATCCAAATAAGAGAAACATTTCCAACAAGCAAGTACCACGTTACCAACACATTGTACTTTGAATTCCAAACAGACATGAAATTGTTTCTTCATATTTAGAGCAGATACATAGATAGTCCAATGTTTCTCTATAAACCATTTTTGACTTGCACTTCTGCTTTTGATGCAACCCTCAACTGGATTTTATAAGACATAAAAGCTGGAACAACTAATATATATGCCATTAATTTGTATTTTTACAGAAGTTATCTGTTACCTTCAGAGTAATCTGCAGATGAAAGGACAGCAATGCTTCCCTTCCGATCTGAAACAACAGCAGTATTGACATCCATAAGAATGCAATCAGCAACTAATCTCTGACATGGATCAAAGTACAGTTGCTGCAGCTTTTTGGAATCCTGCCACACAAGACAATATCAAGACAAATAATATAAATAATGGGTATGTTCCTGCTACTTCAAAAATATAAATCGCATGTCACTTCTAATGCAAGTCGAATGTGAAATGAGAGAGAGAGAGAGAGAACAAATGACTGACAGAAACCCATAATGCTTACCTCATGATAAGCATAGAAAAGGACACCATCACGACAATCACCAACAGCAATTGTAGTGAAATGTGTAGTCAATGATGTAATCATAAAACGTGTCCTTGCCACATTAAACTTTCTCACTCTTTGTGGATTGTCATTAGGGAAACCACATACATAAAACTGAGAAAAGAAGAGCAAAACCTCTGTCAACAATTGTCATGCACTAAACCAGATTTACCTTTTAAAACATGCTTATAGAACAATATACATGTAAAAGAAAGAACAGAAGAATATAGATAATTTAACACTTACAGCATTGCCAGCAGAAGCCAAGAAGTAACGATCAAGATAAGAGCAGATTGCAAGTACCATTCCAGACCATGTGGATGAATAAGCGACTCGAAACTGCCATGCTTCAGTTTCTTCAAGTTTAATTCCATCACAGCTAGTGTCATCTGGACTACTGCAGAGACTACTGCTAGAAAGCTGTTCTGTGGCATATCCAACAATTTCATGAAACGGAGATGCTCGTTGAGAAGATGACCCTGCCTTTGAGCAGAATGTCATTGAGCCACTGTCTGAATTTTGCACGTGTTCAAGACAAAGAACAATAAGACGGCCCTTGGTACTGCCAATAAGAATCCAGTTAGATTGGCAGGTCTATGAAACTGAAGAAATTGAGAGTGACCATCAACGCCCTGAAGGTAATTAACATTTAAGTCTTGAAAACTTCCATTTAAGCTGAACCTTTTAAACTTAGGCTGTGTGAACTTTAGTCAGAGAGAAGTAGAAAGCGAGTGACACAGAGAAGAAATAAATACAAAGACACATGTTTTACCTCTCAGCCTCACCACTGGGCATTATGGCTGGACCAGAAGATAAGCTCGTCCCAACCACAAGAACTTGTTCGTTTCCAACCCTCACTAACTCCATTGATTTTCCTGTTTCACCGGCTTCAAGTTTGAAGGATGACAGCACAGACCCACTTAGAGGATCAATGCAACATACATCTGATGAGCATGTATCATCAATCAAATCAGTCCTCATCACAAGCAATAGCCTGCTTTCACTATGATAAAGGACCTCTCTTGGAGTGCCTCCAAGATGAAACTTCTGCACATTAAGCCTCTTGCTGTGCACCATCTCTACCTAGAATCATCATATAACATGGACTTGAATCAATACATCCGACTTCAAGATAATTTAGTGAAAAAAAATTATCTTTTAGTTAGAAAATCTTAGGAAAAACAATATCATTCCTAACACAAGCCCCCAAGACTTGGGAGCTTTTATGCTTTACACACAAGCACTCATATAAGCTAGTACATAACATACATGTAATCCAAACATACTAAGACTTGCAATTCGTTAATTTGGTCCATTGAAGGTCTCAAATTCTCACAAATGTGGCGAAGGCAGAACTCAATGTCATGTCCTTCAACGATGCCAAATGACCTCACAAGCAAAGCCACCTAGCATCTAAAACAAACACTAATATGAACTTTACTAGGAAAGTGTTAGTTTATTTACTCCACCTTATCACTTTTGGATAAATCATGCAATCAATAAATTAGAAGCAAATCAACCTCGCAGATCTGGCCAGTTGCAGTCATCAGTCTTGTTTCAAATATTTTGATTTCCATTCAGAGTTTCAATGTTTGATGACACTTAGTTTACCAGGCAAAGATATAAAGCATAGGTGAGCGTACAATTATATATTAGGGAACTAAAGAGACGTTTCTATAGGATTATGATTTATGCAACAAACCTCAGTCCAATTTTAATCATATAATTCCCATAATCCTATGTACCCAAAGCCACCCAGTAATACTAAAAAAATTCCATTTTTTTCTGTTTTCTCTTCAAAATCCATCTCATGCCATTACCAATAATCAACACTAGAAGAAGTACCGGTAAATGAACCAAAATATTTACAATTCCCAAATTAATGTACTCTTCTCTTTAGATATGAAACCAAGAAAATCTAGAAATCTGTGAAAATTAAATCTTAATTCCTTAGATGAAACAACTTCAGTTAATATGATAATATTTTCTGAGAAGAGTTAATATGATAATATGTCAATGGCATAATTACAAGATGACAAAAGTATAACTACAAACAAACAAATTTTTTTTATAAGACTAGATTCAACAAAATGAAAGCTATAGACCAACAAGAGCACAAGACAATATGGATAGAACTCTCACCAAATGTAGACAGTTCTCTGCAACAAATAAAATTCCCTTAGGGCATTCGACATAACATACAGGAGTGACATGTGTTGATGATTGAAATGAGATAGAAGTGTACGAGATACTGTGCCTTGCAGTATGTAACAACCAAGGCCTATCACTGAGAACAACTATATCACCATCTAGCGAGTCACTCAAAGGAACCAAGAAAACAGGAGTGATGCCAATGCGACGAGTGGCAATCAATTGCAGCTCAACAGGATAATAGTCCTTTGTCTTCTCATATAACTTATCATATATTTGTCGGCCAACAAGACTGTGACTGGTTAAAACAGACAGAGGCATTGCAGAGGCAGCAGGCCATTCGAAACGAAGTAGCATTCCATTCCTCAATCCCGCAAGGACATACAATCTGTCAACTAATACAAGCCTTACATCTTGAGGAATGCAGCCACTGATAGCTGTTCCTAAAGTATTTGTTAATGAGATCATCCCAGAAGCAAGAATTGTCACGCCTTCATTAGGCACATAAGACAAAACTTCCACTGAGGGCTTGTGTGTGCCAATAACAAAGGTATTACTTACATCGACTCCAAATGGGAGAGTATTATTGGTTTGCCCAAAACATTTATGAGGAATAGAAACACATGATAATTCATTTTGCAAGCTCAAATGTTGCATCTCATAAATTTCATACTGATGTGACGAAAGCACTCTGACCCCAAGAATGAATAAAAAGCATGGATTAGATGAAGAAACAACAATGAGATTATGGCCAACAGCCCCCAAACTGATACTCATATTTTCTGGGAACCAAGATGTGAAAACAGGAGAAGGAAGTGGAATACCTTCAGAATGGGCAGCCTTGGTGGGCAAACAGACCCTAACTGCATTTTTGTGAATCTGAACCAGCAACCCATCATTTACAATACCACAAGCCAAAGTACTAACATCAGGCTGAAAACCAACAGAATCCGTCACATCAGTAAAGCTTAAACCAACTGACAATACCCTGGTCTCCTCTACAAATGACAGCACAAGAAAGGAATGATAAGAATCAATTACTTTCATTCGTAATGTCCAAGTACCAGTAATTCCTTGATAAATAGGCGCAGTCCTTAATAGCTTTTCCACACTGATACCACTTCTAATAATCCTTAATGATCCCTCAGGTGCCACTCCACAACAGGCAAACATTTGATCATGTTTTTCATCATGGTAATCCACAACTGACATATCCAACACTGGGGCAATATTTTGAATAGGGCTTGTGTAAAGAAGCGTTCCATTTTCCATTTTCAAGACCATTCCATCCCCCATGTCTAGTAGTGCAGCAAGAAACCCGCCTTCAGCCCACAGAAGTGCCTTGGATGGTGAACCTTGGTAAAGACATTCAGATTCTTGAACCTTGGGGCCATCAGGACCAAAGATAATTTCGATCATGAAATATTCTCCTGTATCTGCACAAACGATCATTCTAGGATTTTTTACATTCCCCAGTTCCCAAGACCATGAACACACATGTTTGTAAGTCACATTCACATTGTATTTATCACCGTCTATGCACATTGGATCTAAATCGCTCAGTTCTAGTAAAGCACAAGCAGCTACATTGAATAAACCTCCTTCATCATCAACCTGAAGTACTCTAGACAGATCACATCCTCTAGATGACTCTTGAACAAAATTTGCCTCATCAACCACATTGGATAAGAAATTTGGGCTTGTTCTACAGACACAGAAGGGGTTGTGTGCATCTCTAAGATCCATTAGGAGAGCATCACCCTCCCTAAACATAAAAGCAAATCCAGGGGAATGAGGAACTTCAACAATACTATGTGCTAACGGTCCATCTTCTACGTATGTAGAAATAACATATATATCCTGATCCCTAATATTCCATCCCAGTAACAGCAATTCATTAAGGACTGCATCTCTCCTGCAATTCCAATTGTATATAGGTTCATCAGAAAATAGAACAGAAAAATGACTTCTATCCTCAAACCATGTAAGCATTGAAATCACAATTTTTTGGAATCTCCAAGTACGCATGATAATCATACCTATTTAGAATAATGGCAAGTACAGGACTATGCCCCTTACTTGATTGCCTAGGATCCTTTGAAATAAAGCTCATGCTCCATATAGTACCCTGAATACTGTTTTTCTGGACTCTGGCAGCACTCCCATCTTGTTCATTTTCTGGGGGAAATAGTATTTTCTGAAATTGATCCACAACAGAACACCTCAATAACTTTGCATGAATATATTGGTATCCCAAAATTAAATAAAGCAGCTTCATATGTTTTTTTTTTTCATTATAAACAAACAATTCATACATAATTTTCTCTAGCACACACATTAGCGTAAAACATATCACAGGAAGAGGGGAAAGCAGCTCAACCTTATCAATAATGTCACTGCCTCCAGACAACGAAACAGAGAACATAGCCAAACGGTTTTCATAAGCACTAGCAGCAATGAAACAGCCACTGCAAAAAATAAAAAGATTAATCAAGAGTTTAGGACTGCAGAAAAAACAATTAGAATACCAACAGCTTATTTTCACATATTCTTCAATTCTTTCTTATTTCATTCTCTCCCACTCCCCAACTACCACAAGAAAAACTAACTTTAATTGTTTTATTCAACAATATTTTAAAATTACACTTTTCTACCACATAAGAACATGCAAGAGAAATTAAACTAAAAAGTCTAAAATTAATATTCTCAAGCAATATCCAAAATTTTCCAGGAAAACAACGAGACATTTACTAAACAAACAAAGATACCTATTTATTGTCACAACTATTTCAGGCTGCACATCCATGAATTAAAGAATGTACACTGACGTAAAAGAAGACATAGCACCACAAAGGCAACAAAAATGAAGAAGTTCACAAGAGAAAGACAAAGAAATGGAAACCATAACAAGTCAACTTATCAAAATTCACTGAAAAGTAAGAATTATTCCTAAGCTTTCTCATTCTCCAATAACATGCAATTACAAAGCTACTTCAAATAATGACCAGGGGCAAAGATACACCTCAAAAAGAAATTTCATTACGGAAATTGAAAGGAGATGAGAAGGAATACGGAACACATACTATGCCGGAATGCATATTCTTTTTCAAAATTTCAAATTACAATGGAAAATTACCTTGAATCGATTGCTAGCATTCTTCCAAGCTGATTCCTTGAATTTCCAGGATTAGAAAGTTGAACTTGTGTCACAGGAAAAAACCTAGGTAAACATTTCCAAGTTAGATAAGAGTACCCGCAGAAGAAGGGTCGATTATTAGTGTTGACAATTTGGAAGATAAAATTTTGGAGCATGTATTGTTAGGTTCAATTTCTATACTTCGTGGAATCTAGCATTTACTATCAAAACCTTTTGCCTGTCTCTGGAGAGGCTTCCTAATTTTATTGCACAGCTCATAAAGTAGCAACCAAAACCGAAAAGTTGAACACAGCTAAAACGTAACTTTACCTGTGCATTTCATTGCAAAACGAGAGAAACGAGAGCTTCCCAGAATCAGAAATAACAACCAAAAGGTCTTTACCCACCATCTACAACAAGAAGAACTTATTTCACTGAATACAAATTTAGATAATTATCGAAAACAACAAGAAAGAAGAAACGATTCTTGAAAGCGAACGAAATACCTGCGGGTTTTGTGTGCAGAATTTGTCATTCCAGGGTAGAATGGAAATGTCTTTAATTGTACCAAACACAGGCTGCTCACATATAGATTGTACAATCCCATCTTCCCCAATTATTACCAACTCTATTGAAGTCTCCTGAAATTTACCCAACTCCGATTAAGCTTTTCGGAACAGCATATTATCTTTGTCCTAATTCCCAACAAAATTACAATCAAACACGAATAGATTGATCATTTGATCCCAAAACTACCCTACTGCTAAAAAAAGCTGCAGAAATGAGAGAGAAAGAGAGAAATGACCTTGCCGAAGACGACGTCGTAAGAGTTGGGGAAGCGGATGTGACCGTAGAGGACCTGAAGAACGACGCTTCCGCGGAGGACGCACTTGGCGAGGTAGTAAGAGCTGGTGGAGGAGGAGGCCGACGACGACGATCGGGACTTGGCGGAGGAACACTCTTCCTCTGAGACAGCCATTGATGACGATGGCTATGAGGAATTTTCAAAAGCTAGGGTTTCTGTTTGTTTCCCGAGAAAACTTAACCCTCTCTGGTTTTCCGACAACTTGGACGTCAGGAGTATGTCATGGTATGCAAACGCCACAGGCGCCCCCGGATAGGGAGAGAGTTTATGATTACTTAATTAATAATTCAACTAATCCCTATCTAATTTTTTTTTTTTTTTTTCACACTATTTTATAATTCATACGTTTGTTAGACGTAAATATATAGTTTGATACTTAGTTCTCCTTTGGTATTATTTTTTGTTTTTTTGGCAAAAAATTGCTTCACTTCAAAATACAACAACAAAAGGTGTTTGATAAAAATAAATGTTTTGGTTATTCTAAAAACAATTAGCTCCAAACAGCAGTTTTAATAAAACGCAGAGTTGAGCTTTTAATGAATATTTTCAAGTCATATAATACTCTCATTAGTTTTTTAAAATAACATTATTTACCCTTCTACATACATTTTATTCTTTTTTGGACAACAAAGTAACTGCCACTACTTACCACTACAAACACTAACCTTATAGCACCACCATTGTTGCCGCCACCACCACAATGATCACCTCTGCCACCACCACCACAATGGTCACCTCCGCTGCCGCCATCACCACCACAATGGCCACCTTTGCCACCGCCACCACCACCACAACAATGATAACTGCCACCACTATTAAAATTGCCACCACCGCCATTGCCTTTATTGTCATTGTCTCCACTGTCAACGTCAACATAACCAAAACTGACACGACAACTACAACCACAACCACCACCACCATCGTTGTCGCCACCTCCACCACCATTGTTACCTACCCTAACTACCACACCCCCTATTAGCACCACAAGCATACCTTCACCATTACAGCTACCATCATCATCACCATCCCCCACCACCACCACTGTTGTCGTCTCCACCACCCTATACCATGTCCATTTTTGTAATTATATACAATTATGTCACTTCAGCATTAAATTTTACCAAATGTTTTTACATTGTTTTTCATTCTCACAACACTTTTTAAAATATAGTTTATCAAACGCTCAACTACTTTATTTACAATTGATATTCTTATAGCAGAAACGGTTTTTTTTTTTTTTTTTTTTAAGTACATCACTTTCAAACTAGCCCCTTAACTATTGTGGTTTGGTCAAAATATTCATAGTTTAAATATAGTTAGGTAAATAAAAAAGTTTACATGTAATTGCTCTTCGCATGATGAGTGCAAAGGATTTCACAAAATATTCAAAGTTGATGGCTAAAATCACTATTGCTCGTCATGACATCCTTTTAGACTATCTGTAACCGATTGCCTTCAAGATTTTTGTTGTTTAATGTAATTTTCTCTTAAAAATAAAATTGATGACAAATTTTCTTGGAATGTCTCTATCTGTCGTTATGCTTAGTAATAGGAAAGAAAATTTATTAAAACTATTCCCTCCTTAAGGACCTAAGAATGTAAAGCAATTTTGTAGTGTTTGGAAAAATTGTGAGATTTCATCACATGGAATGGGAAACCTTCATTCATGCGAAACAAGCATTACCCAATTTTTCTGTATAGGATTGAGATCTACTCCGGATTTCTATCTAGAGCCTATGAACCAAGAGATTTGAATCGTTCAAGAGAAAAAGAACTGGACCGTTCAAGTTTTTGGGTGTTGTGAAGAGGGTAGGGGAATGGCCATTAAAGAGCCGAAGGATTGAAATTAAGTTGTCCGGATCTCTGAGTCCACGGGCTTCGGACACAAAGACCCGGAGTGGATCTCATTCCTTCTATATAGAATAATTTACGTTCTATTATTGATGACAACTCAATATTCCGTTTAATAGCCGGAAAAAAGTAAGAGGCAGCACCGGCGGTGCATCATTTTCTTCTTCATGATTACTACCCAGTCCACAAATCCGTTCTTAAACATAATCGTATGCAATAACCACACATTGTTCTTGTAGACGAGCATTTGAATTTGTCAAAGTTATGTTTCCTTGTTTGCTAATATACAGAAAAATTGCAGAGCAGTAGAACCAGATAGAATACTATCATGCACCACCAACATTCAATAGTTTTTACTCGGTTTACAAAGAGAACTGAATCGCCTATCCTTTGTACCAGAACACACAAGAACCGGTATGAAGCATAGTACAAGGTGAATTTTCTAATGAATTAATTAGATGCAACTCTCAAAGAGGCCTTTATAGGTGGTAGAACAAACACGAGAACACTCCCTACTTTAGAGCAAAAGATGTACCATTGTCCTCCAACGTTCCAATAGACTCCTTGAGAAGTCTCTGTGCTTCTTCTCTCCTCCTAAACAAGAAAGTTAAGCAAACGGTCATAAGCAATTACATAACGCAATCCTCGTGTCACCAGTCGCACTACTAATGACACCATGCAGATCAAAAACAAAGGAAGTAAAATGAATCAAACGCTTTTTTATCTTGGACATTTAGCTCAAAGGAAATCGGGGTGAGTAGGTGATCGATGGCAGAAAACGCACATAAGAAAGAAAAAAAAGTGACCATAAAAGGGGTTGATCGCAAAACCCACAACAAGTAAAATAAAAAAGCAAGAACAAGAAACAAAGCAGAATATTTCAGCATCAGATGTCACTAGATTTTAAGTAATTGATTAAAGCATACCTCTTTATATCCTCCACAGCTTGTTTACGACGTTGTATCTGAAGTTCTAGAATGTGAATTAGCGTTGCTCTAGCCTGCATAATAAAGGACATTACAAACTAACATAGTTCTTCAAAAGATAAAACAATAAATCACATTCTAACACTCAAAAGAAACTTACCTGATGGGGCCGCAATGAGTTGAGAAGATGATGCAAATTCTTGAAGATAAGAGATATCTCTTCCACTCTCCTTGCATATTGTGATGGTCTCTCTACAAGAATATCAGCCAGCTCCAAAATGTGCAGCTGCAATTCTCTGTTAAGTGACCTTAGTTCCTTCTTAAAGTCTAAAAAGGACCGCCATTTATGTCAGACACGCATAATCATTTTACAAGAAAAAAAATCAAAAGCATGCACATGCCATAAGAAAACACTAGAATAAACACAAACATACACGTATCTGCGTGATCAGGTAGTTCATATGTATTTCTTGTTAAGAATTATCAATCAAATAGAACTCTGCAAACCAATCCATACAAAAGCTCTAACGTGCTCTCTAATGTTCCTCTCCTGTCTTGAGATGTATTCATCCTAAATAGGGTTCATTCAAGGGGTCATATTTTAGACGTCAATGTCTGATCTACAAGCATGAAAATATTTTCAAGTACGGATTGAATATATTCCTGGCACCTAGAAAACGATGCAATTGGTAAAAAATGTGCAGTAACATTTCTCAACATTTGCTACTTCTTTTGCTTTTGAATGCATTGCATAAATTAGTTCTTGCACGAGAAAGTTGTAGACAACTGTAATCTAGAGAATTCATGAGAATATTTCTCAGCGTAGTAACTGTGTTCTAACTTAGCAAAGAAAATTATCAATAACTAGTTTATGAAAAACAAAATCCATAATTCAACCAATGCTACGAAGAAACTGTGAAATTGATTGAAGCAAGAAAATATTCACATTAATTCCTAAAATTCTAAGGCAATATTTGCACATGACATAGAAATAATTAAAACTAGAACTGAGGTGGGCGTACCAATATTTGGGCCTTTTGGATACAATTGACGCACTCCCTGTTCTTCCAAGCTCGGAAGTATCTCATCAATCTATATAAAAGATAAAACTAATTACGAAGAAAGTAAAAGGAATGCAATGAAGATCAAATCAATCATTGCGAATATTAACAGTAAAACCTATAATTTCACATATTATTGAAAGATAATTCAAAACTCAAAAATCAAAACGTACAATTTTAAAGGTACAAAATATTATGTTCCGGGCTTAAGCAACTGCCATAAACATGAGATGGCATTCTTCAGAAATAAATTCAAAAAGATTTAGCTTATGCCAAGATTCTCACATAATTTATTAGTGACAAACCAGTTTTCAGAAATCAAATAACAATGTTTACATCAATTTTGACAGGTAGAAATCAAGGAGTGGGAAAGGCTCACAGTGTGATTGGCACCATAGCAAATGAATGGGCCTTCAATCGGAGGGGGTGGCTCCGGAGCTGATTTAGGGTCTTGCAAGTAATCTTTGTAGAGCCTATAATATGGGGGTGGTGGTGGATACGTTGATGTAGCCATAGCAAGCACCTTCTGGGCAAACCTAAATCAACCAAGTTGAAGAAAACAATAAGTTCACTTTGAAAAATAAACACACATTCTCTGTTGAACTCCCCTTGTCTCTCCCTCTCCTTCCGTTGTGTCATGCTCCACAACCTACACAGGTCCCTGCCACAACCACCCCCTCCTCCTCTTGCACCTCTCTCTCTGTCTCCCTTGTCCGCTCTCTGACCATCCCCTATGTCTAAGAACTCAAAATACACACAGAACCAACGCAACCACCTCAAGAGCAACTCGTGAAATCAAACTGATATAACCTAATCCATATCATTAGTAAAGCACCAAGTTATGCACATAGAAACACAGAATCTAAACCTAGAAACCCAGTTTCTCCCACATCATGACACCTACACCGACAACGAACACGCAACCACACAATTCGTTCTCATGACAACAAACACCAAACCACAAACCACAAACCTAAAATTTAGTTTTGACAGACCCAAACACCTCCATCTACATCTCCACCACTCTAAACAAAAAAATCCCAAGCCACAATCAAATGCACTCTACCAAACCAAAAATCAAAACCCATCTCAAAGATTTTGTTGGCTGAATGTTTTGATTATAAACAGTACATTGATATAAGCCATTGTCAGAAAAAATAACAAATTAGTAGTAAACAATGGGTTCCAAAAATAAAATCGGAAATTCATAATAATACAAATGTAAAACGAGAGAGCGTGCAAAATCGAACTCACCTAAACTCAAAAACCCTAACTTAAGCAGCCGAAATTGAATTTGGGAATTGATAGATAGATTGAAGGAGAAGAATTACTGAAAGAGACTTCAAAATTCGAACAATCGTGGAGGTCGATTACCAATTTGCCCCCCTTTCACTCGTAGACTTGCAGTGGAGCTCTGAGTGAGATGAAATGGAAGTCGAGGAGGATGAGTGCTGGGCTTGCGAAACAAAAGTCGGAAGGAAAACAAAGAAAGGGGGGAGGGGCTTGGTTCCTCTTCTTTGCTTTTTGAGTTAATTATAATTATGCCCCTTCACTTGTAGTGTTATTTCACTTTGGTCCTCAGACCTTTTTCCATTTATCCGAAGTTGGTCTAAAATTTTTAGGTTGGTGTTAAATGAGAACAACAGTGACGGCAATTACAAAAGTTAATAAACTGAGAGAAATTCAATTGTAACGTTTGTATGGTTAGAAATGATCATGATGCCAAACACGTTAGCAAGGAAACATTTTAGGCCGACATCAAATTTCATAGTTTTTGCAAACCATAAAGAAATGAGATACATAAATAAGACATGCAGTTGCATGTGTTAAGATTAAAGAATAAAAAGACTCAGATTCTAAGTTGAAAAGGTGTTTCGTGAACCAATATTAAGTTGAAACGATCATAATTATAATATTTGATCCCGTCAAATTTCTAAGGTGAAATTTAATTTTTCCAATTCGTTCGGATTTAGTGCCGCTTGAAGAACAACTTCAAATTGGAACGGAGGATTTAGTTTGGATAGAGTTGTTAAGTTTTCAGCATAAATCCCCTAGATATTCATGCGGTTGCAAACTTAGGGTATGACGGTCGAGTAAATGAGTTAGGGAAATGCGCTTTAAAAGTCACGATTATGTGTTGTTATGTTAACTTTGTAAATAAAATAAACTTTTTTTTTTAATATTTTGAACGAAAAAATTAAAGGACCAAATTGATAAAAACCTAACAAGTAATTAACTTTATTTTTTATTTGGTCTATAATTGATAAAAGCCTCAACAGTTAGTACAAATTCATTCAAAACTTTAAATTTGGTCTATAATAAGAATACATGTATATTTTGTTTCCAAAAAAAAAAAAAAGAATACATTTGTACGAGCTGACAATTTTTTTTTTGGAGTTTTAACGAAAAACCCATGATACTGTTCACTTTAACGAAAAATCACATTTTTACACTAAAAAGTCAATCCTGGTATTATTCACTTTACCTTTTATTTTGTCCTTATCATTAAAACTCAAAGTTTTCAAGCCCTTTTCATTAGTTTTCCTTTCTTTTTAGTCTGCATTTGAGATTCATTTATGCAGTGACGAAAGATAAAATACAAAAGCACAAATACTAAAATCACACCACTCAGTACTACAGTTTGGTAGTATTCCTCTTCACTTGGGAGTGAGAGGTTTTATGTTCGAATCTCGTAGATGACAAATTTGATACCAAATTAGGTTGTCCATTATGTGGCTTAGCCGAACTCCCCCTTCCCTAGTGTAAAAATATCGATGTACTAAAAAAGGAAAAATACTAAAATCACAAGACCGATAACAATCGACCCAAACATTAAAATATTAAGAATGGAGAAGGCGAGGGCCTGGGGCTCACAACAGAATTTTCTAGTTCGGGGGTATTGATTGAAGATAGCTGAGGTTCCAGTATAAAATTAATTTGTCATATGGAGAATAGCCCAACTTACTTATAAGTCCATGTAAGATCTCTCATCTCGTCAATGTGGAATTCATTCTCAACATTAATCTTGATTTAATCTTTTTGCCAGTTTGGTAGTGACCAGATTCACCGCAAATAACATAATAGGTGTCTTGTATATTAAAAGTTCAGGCAGTAAAGGCACCGTAATGGGATATGACAACTGATAGAATGCAACTATCATAATCTACTTGAGTGACTAGCATCACAAAATCGCCTTCGTGTCTATAATTAAATATGAATTCGTCGCCGACATAAAATTCTTTTGATGAAACCCACTTGTTGTAATCAACCGCAACACTGGAAATCCCCCCTTCCAAATTGCCGCCAACCGTATAAACAGCGGCGGAACAAGCACCAAAGAAAAGCATCATGATGACAAAAACTCACGGCAAGAGTGTTCCTAGAGCCATGACTAAGCAGTAATCAATAAACAAGCAAAGATTGAGCAAATAGACACAATTAAAACACCAAGCAAGGATGCAGTAATGCCTCACCATGCGTATATATGGATATAGACAGATACATACATTGGCGAGCGTTTTTTATTGTCCCAAATGGAAAATGTTTTCCAAATCCACTTCAAAAATGGTTTTCCAAAATCCAATTCCTAGTAGTAGTAGGATATCTCTTTAGATTTTTTACAGTTGCTATCACCTTTTCCGGTGGCCACCACCTCCGTCCTCTCGAGCCTAAAGTACTTGTCGGGCAGCTTGACGGTGGTGGTCATCTCCATTTTCCCAGGCCACGATTTCGGTACTTAGAGTCGTTAGATCCAATTGTAAGAGCAAGCCCAGCGTGGCTTTTTGCTCGGGGGAAGGTGGACAGAACAAGGGCCCGAGGGCCAAGGGATCAGCTCTAGTGTGGGCTAGCCCAACTGAAGGTGGAGGCCCGAGCTCCAGGCCCGTGAGGGATTGCCAGCCCGAGAGCCTGAGGCCATGTGACGTCAGCCTGGCGTCAGGCAATATTAAATTTTTTTTGTGTCAGGCGCGTGCACCCCACTCGCGCGTGGGGGCGCGTCGCTGACACAAAATCAGAAGAAAAAAAAACCTTTGTCAGTTACCGTTGGGAAGCCACGTGGCTTCCCACGGTCCGTTAGATCTCAACGGTTATTGAATTTGGACCGTTCGATCTCAACGGTAAAAAAAATTAAAAAAATCTTATTTAATATCCACCGTTCGATCTGAGATCAACGGTGGATATTAATATGCTTTATAAATTAAAAAATAAAAGAAAAAATAGTTTTAAAATTAAGAAAAGTTACCGTTGTGACACGTGGCACAATCTGGAGTGTTGGAATTCAAATTTTTTTATATCCAACGGCAGAGATTAATTAATTGAATAAAATTTTAAAAAAAAATTATAAAAAATTCAAAAAAATTCAAAAAAAAATCTGAAAAATCTGAAAAGAATTGTAAAAAAAATTGTTTTTACTTTTCTATAAATACCTTCTCATTATCATCTACCTTACATAACAATTTCATATTTTCTCAACTACTTTCAATCACATTCCTTTCTTTGTCTCAAAGTTTGAATCCATTTTTTTTCAACAAAATGACCACTGGTGCAGGTACGAATTGGTCGCTTATTGAAGATGTTGCGTTGTGTACTAGTTAGGTTGAAGTTACTCATAGTTCGCTTATGGGTAATGAGATGCAGTTGCGAGAGATGTGGAGTCTTATTCATACCAATTTTCTTGAGAAAATTGGTGGGAAAAGAACCAAAGAATCGATGTCCAGTCGTTGGAAATTACTTAGCCAATCGTTTAGTACGTGGAGAGACGCCTTGGCATAAGCTAGTAGTAATATTCGAAGTGGGGAAAATTACTCGGATCATGTAACAATATATTATTTATTTGATACCCAAATTTACATTATAATTATTTGTTTGTATTATTTATTTGTTACCTACAAAATTTATTATTTATTGTTTGTATTATTTATTTGTTGCCGTCATAATTTATTATTTATTGTTTGTATTATTTATTTGTTATTTATTATTTATTATTTGTATTATTTATTTGTTACCTACATAATTTATTATTTATTGTTTGTATTATTTATTTGTTACCGTCATAATTTATTATTTATTGTTTGTATTATTTATTTGTTACCTACATAATTTATTATTTATTGTTTGTATTATTTATTTGTTACCTACTTACATTATAATTATGTTGTTTGTATTATTTATTTGTTACTTATTTTCATTATAATTATTTATTTGTATTATTTATTTGTTACTTATTATTTATTTGTATTATTTATTTGTTACTTATTTTCATTGTGTAGGAACTTCAAGCACAAGCTTGGTACGCTGCCAAAACCAAAAGCAAAAATAAATCATTCAACCGGTGGGAATGTTGGAATATTGTCAAAGATTGTCCTAAATTTAGAGTTGTGTCAGTCGGTCCAGAAGTGCACATGAACAACACCCCTCTACACTCTACACCCGATTATGTTCATGAAGATGATGCAGAAGAAGTGCCCGAAAGGCCCCTCCCTGAACAAGCGTCAGGTTCGACCCGTTAACCAATTAGGCCTCAAGGTAAGAAGGCTTCAAAGAGAAAAGGGAGTGCTTCCAAGAATGATTATGCAAAGTTCATGGAAGAACTTACTCGCTAAGGTGAATTGACTTTGGCGAGGGAATTGGCGAAATATGAGGCTGATAAGGCTAGAGAGGATGCAAAAGCAGCAACTGTTGAGAGAGAATTTCATGCTAATAAGAGAGAAAGAGAGCTACTTAGGCAAGAAAGGGAACATGTTAGAGAAGAAAGACGGGCTCAACAAGATCGTGAGATTATGAACATGTCTTTAGAAGGGAAGTCTCCAAATTCTAAATTTTTTTGGAAGTCAGAGAAAGCGGACGTGGTGCAAAGGAGGCGTGCAAGAGAAACGATAGCAAGCCAAGGTGGTTCTAGCACCGCAAGAGAAGATCATCCTAGCACCACAAATTGGTTAAGTGATGATGAATAGAATACTTTTTGTAATCGGAGCCCATAATTTTCCAATCACTTTGGGTTGTAATTTATTATTTATTGTTTGTATTATTTATGTTGTTTCCAATTTATTGAATATTTATTCAAATTAATTTGGTAAGTTGTTTATACTAAGAGAATATTTATTGAAATGACAAAAACACACCAAATAAAATTACATAAGCATACGAAATAATTAAAAACTCACTAAAAAAAATTACATAAACATATCAAATAATAAAACATACCAAAAAAAATAACATAAACATACCAAATTCAAAAAAACACACTAAATGAACTTAATTATCTTCAGCTTGTTTCAATGCCCACTGGTGCTTTATCAAGTCAATTTGTTGGGCATTGTGCATGTCTGGCATTTGAAATGCAGTATATCGTAGAATGAGCCTTTCATTGTAACGTCCATCCCTTTGTAACGGCTCATGTTGCACGGGCTCATCGGTGGCGTCATGAGCACAATATATACGTGTTCTTGAATTGTTCATCGGGTCTGGCTCATATTCATCAACGGCTTCGTGATCGTACTCATCTTCCACAATC